CCCCCCCCCCCACAATCCCCCTGCCTCTAATATAGAGGCAGCATTGAGGGGATGGGGTGGGGCAAGGGTCTCCTTAATAAATGCATTTTAACATACTTACTGATGAAGTGTTCATTTTTGTGATACCTGTGCACTAGGAACTACAGTGATACCACCAGTTCATCCTAAAATCAGAAGGCACTGAACAACCGTCACAGAACACATATAATGATTTACCAAACTGGGCTGGATTAAAGAAGGTTTTCTAGAATTGAAAGAATCCTTTATTAGGATTGTTTAAAACAAACAACCCCCCTCCCACCCAGCACACATGACTGCATCATGACAGATGTGGAAAGATGTACTGGATTTGTAACTCAATCATATGAGGATGCACAATTTTCCATTCTGGGCCCTGGATCCACCCTGGCCTCCCAATCTCTTTGCACAGTATTGTTCCATCCTCTTGCAAGGAATGGGGAGTGAATGACAAAGTGGTATGGAGAAGCACAACTGCATCAGCAATAGTTCTTCATACAGCTGCTGCAGAAAGGGAAAAGTAAGCAAAGAAAGTCACAGGGTCAAGAACAGGAAGTCACCAAATCTAACGCAGAGCAGCACTCTCTGACTCGTCATGGCCAACTTTCTGTCCGTCCATATGAACATAACAAGTAGGAAAGCAGCAAAGGGAAAGCCATGTACACAACAGTAAAGACAAAAAACACAACATGTAGAATACTGCTGGATTACTCTTGTTGTAAAAGGACAAAATGCTAATTCACCTATCAGCTTTGATATAGGAAGTTTTTTGTGCAATTTCAGTATATTTCAAATTTATCATTAAGGTTTGGGATTTTTTAGCGGATTCTCAAATGAGCTGCTCAGGTGCTACAGTGATGGAGACCAGATATAGATTTGTTTGTTTAGTTTAGTCTTTTTGATAAGAAATCCAGTCAGTAAAGTTCACAGACCTGGTCTTTAATTTTTGGTGACATGGTAAAGCCCCCCATGAACTGAGGTTCCTATTCCCAAGGACTCCAATCTTTAAATATGATTCTGTGCAGCAGCTGCACCCATTAGCAAAACTGCACAAACACAGAATAAACAACGATTCCAGAAAAACAATGGGTTAGGGTTATAAACATTTAAAAGCAAGGACTAGGCCAATTAGCAAAACCGAGCAAGCAAGCTATTCTACTTAAAATGAAGCGTTATTAGTCCCTAGTGCATATATAAGTAACATATAGCCCTGCCCTCCTAATATCTTTAAAACCCACAGGGCTAAATATTTTTCCATTGATATGTTAGTGACATTTTAGTATTGTTAAATCACATTCCAAAACTCGAGCCACAATAAAATGATTAGAACTGGAAAGGACAATAGAAGAATGGTTGGTACTGCTGGTGCATCCCCTTGTGGCTAGGGCATGGCGTAGCTGCACCTTCACTTCTAGGACTTGCTCCACTTCTGTGGGGGTCTGCCTCTTCTTGCAACTTGGCTCTCTGGCCACTTCACACTGTAGTTCTAACCCTTTGGGGGTTATAAAGAACCCAACAACAATCCTTACCAAAGGTCTTCAGCCCTATGGTCATCACACTCTCCACTCAGGGTTCTCAGTTGAGCTTATCCCCATCTCAGGGGCTTCCTGTCACCTCACCAGTAGCTGGAAGCAGAACTCTAACCCTCCCACTACAGTGGATTCTAGCCAAGGTCTGCTCAGTCTGACTCCCTTTTGCTGCCTCCCTGGACTTCTTCCTACCATAGCCTGTCAGCAGGTCTTTCCCACAGCCTCTGTACATTCATCCTTTTTTCAGAGCCAGGACTGGCAAGTCTTTCCACTTGTATCCCACAACAGATCCCAATCCAAAAGCAAAAACTTAAGCCAACCTCTTCTCTCCTCAGGCTGGGCCTTTCATGTCTTAGGGTACGTCTAGACTACATGCCTCTGTCGCCAGAGGCATGTAGATTAGGCTACCAGGCATAGGAAAATGAAGCGGCGATTTAAATAATCGCCACTTCATTTAAATTTACATGGCTGCCGCGCTGAGCCGACAAACAGCTGATCAGCTGTTTGTCGGCTCAGCACGGTAGTCTGGACACGCAGGTGTTGACATCAAAGGCATTTGTCCACCACACAGGTATACCTCATCCCAGGAGCCGACAAACAGCTGATTAGCTGTTTGTCGGCTCAGCGCGGCAGCCATGTAAATGTAAATGAAGTGGTGATTATTTAAATCGCCGCTTCATTTTCTTATGCCTGGTAGCCTAATCTACATGCCTCTGGCGACAGAGGCATGTAGTCTAGACGTACCCTTAGATTCCCTTGCTCTGTTCCTCCCACACACACCTGCCAGGTTTCTCTCCCTGCCACACCGTGCCTTTTTATCAGAATTGTACATCATTGCAGCCTGATCCACCTCCCCTGCTGCTCTGTCTAAAGACTGCTCTACTCAGGGAAGAATCCCAGGGCCAACTCTCTACCTAGGCTTTCTCCTTTACCCTCCTAGATTCTCCACTCTCTATATAGAGTTTCTCTGTACAGCTTCCATTTGCCCCCAACTTCCTTTCTTTATAGTCATCACCCAACTCCTTCCTCAGCTGGGTTTTAATTAACTGTGGCCCACCCTCTAAGTGCAACTAGATGGGTTACCTGGCCTTTCAGGCTCACATTAATCCCTGCAGAGGTAGTGTGGTGTATGTACCCCAACATAACCATGTCAATCCATTGCCCACTTTGTCTCATTAAAACAAATCTAGCTGTTTCACTTTGGTACATTGTATTTATATGCTGCCACTGGCACTGTCTGTGAAACAAAATCAATGAAAAACACCAGCTCCCAATATTAAATTTCTAGTAGCACAGAAAAATCACTGGCATTTTAAACATATCACTCTAATTAACAGACTGGTTTTGTATTGGGAGAAATGAGGGAAGGAATTCAGGGCCTAGGCTACCATACAAGAGGACACAAACTGCCACGACGTCATCATTGGATATGATAGACAGACATACCA